TATAATTGCTCTGTGATTTCGAAGTTGGAATATGCAATCAAGTCTTGGCAATTGGAACAAAAACAAACAGTGTTCTTCAATCTCTATCGACAACTGTAAATTAAATTTCTCTTTCGGGTTCGCGTTGCCTAAGTTATCTCCCTCTCTGCGGTTGGGACTGTTATCTGTCGTTGGCGGTAGAGATTGGACTACGATGCTAGAGGAAGAATACAGCCGAAGATGGCAGAAATCGGTGGTAATGGTGGTGTGAAGAAGGAAGGAGATGAGGGCATTTTTGGTAGAATAAGTTGTGTATTAAGTAACAAATGAGATTTCAAATTCATTAAGTGTGTGTTTTAAGAAATGATGTACACAAAGAACATTTGATGTGTGAAAATAGAATTTTCAATATTTTAATGGTGTGTAATGAATTAGTTTATGGTGTGTAAATAAAATTACCCATTAATTAGCATCCATGCGTGTAAACGACAGGACTTTCTTGTCATTTCCACACAAATGAGACTGTCAGGTTCATTAGATTATTTGGAGGACTTATTGGTTACTGAGATATGAAAATGTGATTTATTGGTGCTTCTTCCTATATTTCTGCCACAAAAAGTTTGGTCGGATGCCCCATATTAATAGGAAAAAAAATTTATTATTATTATATCTCAATTTAAAATGACCAAAAGTACTTATTAATGTAAAAAGTGAAAATCATATTATTTTGGACCCCTCATTTCATAATCACTACCAATCTTTCCTTATCTTTGCTCTAGTCTCTTACTCTTTCACTTTCTTCACCTTACATCTTCATACACAAACTCATCATTTTTGCATTTTGTTTCATATTAAAATAAATAATGTACAATGAAGAAGACATTTCGATGTTATTTATGATAAATAAGATATGTTTTCTATTCAGTTTTTTCATTTTTTGCAACTGATTTTACAAACTTCATCCAAAAATTCAATATCGAACAAATTTCACTTGTTTGGCATTTATTTTATATTTCATACCTGAACAAAATGTGCATGGTTAGCTCTGTGTTTCCATACATTTAATTTTTTTTAATTCATATTACAGTTCTGAACAAAAATAACTCTCTAGTATATTTTTTTTTTATCTGCAAAAGAACTCTTTATTGATGGACGCATACGGGGTATGATATAATGCATCAATAAATAGGAGCTTAGAGCTAGCACAAAGCTCCAATTGCTAGTTGATGAGAAACTAACAAACCAGCAAACAAAACTACAGTCCACCAGCAAGGAAAAAAAACAGAAAACACAAAAAGAGGAAGGAAAAAGAGCTAAGCAACATAGTCAGTAGACACACTTCAGCAAACACACATCACATGCAAAGCTATACCCATCCGCAAACATACTTCAGAGCTTCAACACAGAGGTGCAGAGCTTCACCCGAGCTAACACAACCCAACTAACACTAGAGTTGAGAGCAAAGCTGTAGAACAGATAACATTAGAGCTTCAACACAAAGAGGCAGAGCTTGGGTGTTAGCTTCAGCACTAGAGTTGAGAACAAAGAGGCAGAGCTTCAGCACACACACCAGCATTCTTACTTCAGAAATTCAACACAAACATGCAGAGCTTCACCCACGTTAACACTACCCCGCTACCACTACATATGTACAACAGACCCAAAACAACAGCAGACAACAGTAGATCAACACATTCCAACCATCACTACATATCAACTCTCTAGTATTATATATCCATACAAAATGAAAATATTCGGCTCTATGTTTCCATGCATTTTTATAAAGGTTGGGTTGTAAGCGACGGTGGTGCATGTTGTGGTTGGTGATGATGAGGGTGGTCGACAATGGCAATGGTGGTGCGGTGAAAGGTTGGGTTGGGTTGGGTTGAGTTGGATGGGATGGTTTGGTCTATTTCATGTGTGGGGTGTTCTAAGCATGTATTTAGAATTTTGAAACCCCCTCCCCCCAAACAAAAAAAAAAATTAATAATAATGCGCAATACTTGAAGTGTTTAAAACAATAATGTAAATTTTAAATTTTATAATGAGATATCCAAAATATTGAGGTGTCCAATAATGGCTCCCAATCAACTTAGGAAATCTAAAATACATTCATTCACCTAAAAATGTACCACTACATTATGACACATATTCCAATAATTCAAGCCACTAAAAATACAAATTATTTTTTGAACCATATGAAAATATGAATTTGATCAATTAAACTTAGTTAAAACTCATTTAATATTACAACATATAAGAGTTTTAGAAATTAATTTTTTTTTTGTCTCTAAAACTATAAATTTTATTACAAAAAATATTTAAGGATTAATTTCAATTGTCACGAGGACTGTCGTAAAAAGATCTCCTTGAAAAAGTCAAAAAAAAAAAAAATTCTTAGAAACAATTTTGAAAATGTCGCTAATAAATATATACTTTTAGAGACAAAAATAATTTAGTCCCAAAAAGGTTTATTTTTTGAGACAAAACTTTTAGACTAAAAAAGTTAGTAATTCATCACTAAATGTCTAATTTTGTCGTTAAAAAATAAAATAATACTACTTTTATCGACAAATTTTTTTATTCCTAAAAAATAGTTTAGAATTAAATTTTTATTTTTAAATCTTTAATTTTTTGAAGTGTAAACTTATTCAAATTCTTAAATTTTTTTCTCACCACTAATGGCCTACGAGTTCTCACCTACATTTATTGATATAACTAGCATTACCTTGTGTTTATAGTAGTTAAAAAATTGAATAAGAAATAGAATTACACAAAACATAAAAAATAAATAACTAATATAAGAAAAGAATAAATGACAGCGAAAAAATGTTTCGTTTGGTTTAGTTTTAGAATCATAATTTCAGTGTAAAATTGTGTTTTGAGTTTTGAGTTGCATTTTAAGTTTTGAAAAAAAAATTGTTTGGTTTTGAGTTTTGAAAAAAGTTTTAAATTGTATTTTAAGTTTTGAGTTGTATTTTAAAATTTTTTGCATTTATTTATTTTTTAAATATTTAAAAATATTTTTATTTTAAATATGTAATTTTTATTTTAAACATTTTTTATTTTTTAAATATTTTTTAAAAATATGTAAATTTTTTAAATATGTTTTTTTAATATTTTTAAAATTTTTTAAGAATTTAAAATTTAAAAATTTTTGGATTGCCCATATATATCTAAATCATAGCAAATTATTTGGCTAATACTTAAAAAATAACCAAATATTTTTTTCAAAAAAAATAAAATTCACCAATTTTTTAGAATATCATAATTCACCAATTTGTTTATACAAATTTGGCATTTTTTTTTTGGGTTAAATAAACTCACCAAAATTTGCTCAACAAAATCATACAACAACAACAACAATCAAGCAATTTCAAACAAATTTGAAGTAATTGTTTGAATTAAGTTTTAAGTTATTTAATTGATTATGGGTTTTAAATTTTTTTGATTAGAATCACGATTCTAAAAGAAAACCAAACCCAAAATATTCATTTTGTCTCAAAATATTAGTTCCTTATTTCATTTTTTATTATCTCAAAGTATTAGTCTATTTTCAAATATAAATAACTGAAATAATATGATTTTTTTTATTTTGTTATTATTTTAAATTCATTGATATTATTCTCGAAGTGCAATAATTATATTATTAATGAGTAGTTTTAAAAAGTTAATATTTTTAAAATTTAATAATTGTATTGTTAAAAAAGTTAAAGAGGGAAGTTGTATTTACATTGCATGTATAAAATAAAATAATACAAAAAAGGTCGCCCCCCTCGTCCGCTGTGGTGTGGCAGATAGATGATGGGTGGAGAGAGAAAGAGAGAGAAAAGTGGTCACAACAACTCTCATTTCATCATTCAACGAACCCTAACTCTGTCTGCCCAATTTTAGCTTCCAAAAACCCGGTTTCTATGATACCTTTCTTGAACCGGTGGTCTTTCCTTTCCCGGTCCATCAGTCTCTCTTTCTCTGTGCCCACCGTGGGCACTACTGAACCCAGCTTTTTAAATTTTTTTAGGGCAAATTACATATACACCCCTCGAGGTTTGGCTAAATTACAGATACCCCTGAGGTTTCAGAAATTACATCCCGCCCCCTGAGATTTGTATTTTCATAACAATTTGCCCCCTGAGGTTTATATTTCATAACAAATTACCCCCTAATTTCTTATGCAAATATAGCATTCAGGGGGGAATTCGTAATTTCTCAAACCTCAAGGGCATCTGTAATTTAACCAAACCTCGAGGGGTGTATATGTAATTTGCCCATTTTTTTATTGGCCTTCCCTACTCGCCTCTGATTTTTCACTTTGGATCCTAATTCCTATCCCTCCCTTCTTTCGTTCTCTCTCTTTCTCTCACTTTCTCTCTCTCTACAATTTTCTCTCTCCATATATTAGACAAAAGTTCTACTGTTGTGATACATAGTCCATCTTCAAAGCAAGGACAGAGTGAAAGGGAGAGAATAAAACCCTTTTCTCCTTAATGTTGTATAGTTGCTTTCTTGTGTTTGAAAGAGCTTGATAATCTCTCAATCTTCTTCTTCTTCTTCTTGTTCTTATTCTTTTTCATTTTGAGAACTTCAATTTTTGCATTAAATTAAATATGTCCTCGAGCAGCGTGGATGTTGTGCCGGAACAACTTTGCTACATACCTTGCAACTTTTGCAACATCGTTCTTGCGGTATCTGATCTCTGAAAACCTTTTGTTAGTGGGATTTGCTTTTGGAAATTCCTGTCAACCAATCCATATATATGTGTTTGTTTGGGGCCAAATAACAAGAAAAAACATTATGGATCCTGAATAAAGCTGTTCTTTGTTCTGATATCGGGCCATTTGGTGTTATTATACTGAAATCTATATACATACATGTTTTCTGGGTTTTGCTTGTTTTTTTTACAGTCAGGTCTCCATCGTTGAACTTTCTTTTCTTTCTTTCTTTTGCAGTCAAAGACCAAGTCATCATACCTGAAGGTCCTGATGTGCAGAGGACCAGAGAGGAGAGAGAGAGAGAGAGAGATTAATGAGTGATTAAATGTCAAAAAAAAAAAAAAAAAGGATTTTATGATAAACTAATGAAGAAAGGCCTTTTAACCCTTAGATTTCCACCCCTCTATATACCTTTCCTTTACTAAAAACGATGCATTTCTCCATCTGAGAAGAGTAAAGAGCTCCATCCCACAGAACCCCAAGACTGTTACTTTGGGGTTCCGATGTCAAATCCTACATGGGTAGAGTTTGAGTCGTGATCAGTGTTTTAAATAAACAAATTAAGATTTAAGATTTGCGATGTCAATATTCACTGATATGTAATCATATCAGCAAACTGGCACCTTTATTTATTTCATGCTCAATTAGCTCTATTTTATGCCCGAAACGTTTATGCACATAATACCATTTGTTTTGTTTTGTTTTTCACGGTCCATTTGGTTGGCAATCTTACACAGATTTTGCAGTTTGTGATCTGGGTTTCTTGTTTTTTGGGTTTTACTCTTTTGCAGGTGAGTGTTCCGTCCAGCAACTTATTTGACATCGTGACCGTCCGATGTGGGCACTGCTCCAATCTATTGTCCGTCAACATGGCAGCTGCATTTCAGTCACTATCCTGGCAAGACATTCAGGTGATGATCTTAAAAAATAAAAGTAAAAAAATTGAAAAGAAAAAATAACAAAATCAGCTTAATTTTAGGGCGTTCGCAGGCTTCTGAAATCTACGGTTTCTGGGTTTTGCTTCTTTTGAGGAAATCAAAGTCGTCTTCTTCTTCTTCATCTCTGTATTTACTGCTGTATATATACACACAGATCGAGCATCTGCGAAACCTAACAGCCGCCATAACCAAAACCTATATTTATTGTTTTTTGTAAAGTGTGTCCTCTCTTGACCCATCAAATGAAAGCATTTTCCAGGGCTTTTTTTTTTTTTTTCAATTTTTTAATTTTTAGTTTTAAAGCTAGGGAACTTTTGTGTTCTGTGTTGATTTGATTGACAAGTAATGTTTTATAAGTTTCCAAGGTTTTATTGATTCCTTTTCATCAGGTTTTGTCCTCTACTGTGGAAACACAACAGTCTCTCTCTAAAACCTGCGTTTCGGGGTCTCTCAAATCTAATCCCTTCTCTCTTCTCTCTGGGTATTATATTTTCCTTTATGATTCCTAAGATTCAGTCACTTCAATGTTGGTCTCTTTTCGCCTATAAAACATCACTTCAACCCCTTCTCTCTCTCTCTCTCTCTCTCTCTATATATATATATATATAATATTATTGTCAACTCGAGGCAGGTAAGATCCTGTTTCCTTCCTTTCACCTCTTTTCTTTTTCTCCTTCTACATAAAACCTCTAGGTATTTCGTTCTTGTTTTTCCCCCTTTGGGCTGACATTAAAATACTAAAGAAAGAAACCATTTTAACTTTAAGCTTCATTATGCTCATTAATGGCTTTAATTTACAATGCTAAGTTCATTTAACAAATACAGTCTAAAATATGTGAATGACAATCATCGTGGATATAATATAACCCACATATGGATAACATAAAGCCATTGGATAAAAATTTTACACTATTTTATATTTATTAAATTTTATTATTTTGTTAGCTTTTAATTATTATAATATTTTATTGGTACTAAACCTTCAGTTAGGATTTTCTATAATCCCTAAAAATTGATCCTTATATAATGGTTTAATATACTTGATATGATTTTGGTATGATGTTGCTTTGCTTTTGGGACTATGATCCCTGGTTCACCCTAATCTTTTCTTCTTCTTAGGACATTTACAATGGAATGGCTAAAATTATTTGTTAAGGTGTATATTATATGACAAAAAATGATAAAAGTGAAACCTAAAAATATGTGTTAAAATGTATTAAGGGTTTGTTAATTTTAGAAAGTAAGTGATGGTACAATAAAAGTGTTAAAATATGTGTTAAGTATATATATATAGATATAAATAATAAATAAAATAAATAAATAGCTACCTACAAGTCGTCACTTCAATTGAGAATAAATATATATGACCATGATGATGGATGGAATATATTATATATATAAATAACTTCCTACATGTCTTGTTCTTCAAGTCGTCTTGTTCATAGCTCTTCTTCACTACAATTTCAGAGCTCTTCTTCACTGCAAATTATTTTATTTTATTTTATTTTATTTTTTACTTGAAGGGTTCGGACGTTCGGGGGATGGCCGACTGGACTATCCTACGACACTTTCCACGTCCCCTCTCTCTCCCTCTCGCTAGCTAAAATGTTAGTCACAGTTAACACACAAGTTAATACAAGTTAACAACTGACAACTTTAACACACCTACTAGCAGTTCCACTGAGCAAAAATAGAAAATGGCTAGCTAAAAACTAACAACTGACACTAACACATACTCTAACAGCTCCATTGTAGATGCTATTAGTGCTACTACGCTGCATCACTCATATTATTAAAATAATTTAATTTTATATTATATATTTTTATGGCTACATAATATTGCTTGTTATTGCCTTCAAAAATACTAATGTTCACTTAACTAAACTCTATTTTTCTCTTATAGTCTATATATAATATAAATAATGTATTTACATTTTCATTTTGTATTTTTTTTCAGGCACCCAACTACACTTCCCAAGATTACAGGAATATTGATCTTGGTTCTTCATCCAAATGCAACAACAAGATGACCATGCGACCACCGATTGCAAATACCACACAAGAAAGAGCAGTGAATCGAAGTGAGAATTAAGACTTTTGACTTTCGTACTAGATTATATGAAACCAGAGTATTTCATCTAATACAAATTCTATTTTTGTTTTTTCATTTTTCTTTGTTGCATAATGTATAGTCTTTTTGAGCCATTTGTTTTCTTTTTCAGCTCCCGAGAAGAGGCAGCGAGTACCTTCCGCATATAACCAGTTCATAAAGTAATGAAGATGATATGAGTCTCTATTTACTTACCTGAATTGAATATAACTTTTCTCATTTGTGTTATAAAAGCTTTTGTAGCAATAACTCACTTATTAATTAGTTTTTTCATAACAACAATGTGTTGTGTAGAGAGGAGATTCAGAGGATCAAGGCCAATAATCCAGATATCAGCCACAGGGAAGCATTCAGTACTGCTGCAAAAAATGTAAGTGGGCATAGAGATTTGTGGGTGTTTTACATACAGAGATTTTATATAATTTTTGTATATGGAGATTTTATACATAATGATGGGGCATATTTACACTCATTCATTACCAAAATAAAAATTAATAATAATAATGATGATAAAATCCATCATTATAATATATAATTATTAAAATGTCATTTTGTTGGTTTGTGCATCATACACTTTATTAGTTTTTGCAAAAAAATTATAAATTGAAAAATAATTTACAAAAATAATTTTCATAGATAAAGCCTAACAGTAATGATGTTGCAGTGGCATTTTGTATAAGTTTTCTATGTAGAAATTGTGTATTTAGCATTTGTCTAAAATTTTGTGGGAGTGATGAGATGATGAACTTTCTCTGCTAGTGGGCACACTTCCCTCATATTCATTTTGGGCTAATGTTGGAGACAAACAACCAACCTAAACTTGATGAGGTAAGTGTTTATTTATATATTGTTAGATTCGAAGTTGAATCTCTTTGATTTTGTCTTATCTATTAGTGGTAGTGCATAATAATCCTTCATTCTTGGGGAAGCCTAACATGGTAAACACAGAAAGCAAGTTTCTTTTTTTCTTTGGCTTGTGAGAAATTTTCATATTTACTTAGGTTGTCTTTGATTTCTTTTCATTGGCTACTATCAGTGAGATATCCAACAGTTAGAATAATGCAATTTTTTTTTTAATATACTTTTTATGCTCTTCAGAAAATTATTGATGGTTTTTCTATGCTATTATAGTCAAATTAAAATCAAACTCATTTATTTTTATTAATTTGCACTCTAGGCTTTTATGATCAAGTACATAATATTTTAGAATAGAGGAAAAGTAATATACACACTTTATAACTAAAAAAGAAAATAATATAACTTTATACTTTTTAAGTCATAAAAGTAAAAAAAAAAAAAATTCGCATAACAAAAGATCTCATGAGTTATAACTAAAATAACGTCATAACTAAATAAGAAAATTGGTCGTAATTTTTTTAAGAAAATTGGTCATAATTATTGAAGAAAATGATATAATTAGGATGCGTATGTGCACAGTAGAATTTCCCCTATATATAATATTGCTCGAACATTTTGTTGAAGTAAATAGTGACCCTTTAAAAGCCAAGGCTGTTTTATCTAAAAATATAAATTTTGTTGTAAAAACATTTAGGGACTAATTATAGTTGTCGCGAGTATAACCGCTAAAAGTTCGTCTAAAAAAGTGTAACTAAAAAAAGGTAAAAAAAAAAAAAAAAAAAAAAAGAGTTTTTAGGGAAATTTTTTTTGAAAATATCCTTAATAAAATGCACTTTATGGATAAAATAATTTTGTCCCAAAAAGGTTTATTATTTTAAATTTCAAAGGGTTAGTAATTCATCACTAAATGTCTAATTTTGTCATTAAAAATAAAATAACAACTCTTTTGATGACAAAAATACTTTGTGCTTGAAAAGTAATTTTGTCCTTAAAATTTTATTTTTAAAACTTTAATTCTTTATAGTGCATGAGATTTATTGTTGGTTGAGTGATTCTAAATATTATTATTATTATTATTGTTATTATTATTATTATTTTAAACAATAACGGGGTCTTAACAAGTGTTCTGAGGCAAAATAAACAGACCCAAAAAAATAAAATAAAATAACTCAACACATTTTTCACTTATTTCAAAACATGATTTATTGATTTCAGAACATTTTTTTAAAAAAACTTTTACACTATTTTCAAATGACTTGTTAACGAATTTTCAATATTAAAGAAAATTGATAATGTCAATTTAATCCTTTTAGTTCAAATTTCATCAATTTTTTCATTTAGTTTGTCAAATTACGTCAATTTATTCTAATTGATAATGTTTGTTAAGAAATTAGACATAAATTATGGACAAACTGGTTCCTTCAAAAGTGAATGTACAATTTCAAATTACACACCAACCCCTCAATCACTTTAATGAGAGTAAATGAATTATTTTTTCCTTTATTTCAGTCCAATTTCATAAGGGACGTTATCAATTAGACTAAATTGACACAATATGAAAATTTGAAGTATAAAATTATTAAAATTGGAAGTACTAACATACATGCTATTTTTCTTTTAATAACTCACTCGAGTGATATCCTGATTGAAAATTGGTTTTGTGTAGGGATCTGGGAAGCATCTAATGCCAAGGGCTTCCCTACTGAACAAATGAAAATGTTGGACTTCAGTGGCATTCCCATTCTAAGGACATAAAACCTATATTCTTCGTTGAATTTGTCATAAGTTGTTCAGAAGATGCCATATTTATGTCTTGCAGTATTAAAGTAAACTACTTTCATTTGTCATTTTTCTTCAATATTTCCCCTCATCAATTTCATATAAATTACTTTCATGATACTAGTGGTAACCGTGCTATGCATGAGATTTTATAATTTTTATAAAAAAAAAAAAACATTCAGTATGTTTGGTTTAAATTTTTTGGAAAAAAAAAAAGCATTCAGTATGTTTGGTTTGAATTTTTTAGATTAAGTTTTTTAAAAATTGAGTATTTTGCTTTTCGTGTTTTTTTTTACTGAATATTTTTAAATTTTTAAAATATTTTTTACTTTTTTAGATGCACCTTAGTTAGATGTATCTAAAAAGTAAAAACTTTGTGAAAAAATATTTTAAAAAATTAATAAATATATAAAAATACAAAAATGGTATTGATTTCTCTTTCTTTTATATTAAAAAAATTCAGAAAAACAAAAAAAACACAAAAAACAAGAGTAGAATTTACTGAAAAGTGTATTTGTAATACTCTAACCAAGCAAAGTGAATCATAATTATCTTGAAGTAATTTAATATTTATCTTACAGTATACATGAAATTTATAAGTTAACTTTTATGTTTATAACTTTTAAAATTATTAGTTTAAAAAAATTAAAATATATATATATATATATATTTTGCAATTTTGATAATTTGTATTAAAAAAAAGTTAAACCTGATTAAATGAGATTAACTTAGTTATGACACACCTCTTTTTGTTATGAAAATATCAAAATTTAAAAGTTATAATTAAAAAAATATATAATTTTGTTATCAAATATAAAGTGAAGTGATATTTAACAATAATTAATATAATATTTCTATTATTAATCTAATAATTTAAGTTACAATCGAAGTATTTTCAAACTTATTAATAAGAAGGTTTTAAAATCCAATAATTTAAGGTTTCAAAACTTATGAATAAAAAGTATTTTCAAACTTGTTATGGAATATATGATGTTCCTAGCCTTTATGAATTAGAAGGTTTCAAAATATTTTCAAATTTTCATCATTTTTAAAAAAAAAAAATTTATCTAATTTGATTTTAAATTTAAATAAATTTTTTGATTTGATATGAATTACTTTAACTTTTTCATTAAATTTTTATCAATTTTTAAAAGAACTTTCATTCTTGTCCCAATTTTTTCTTTTCTTTTCACCAATTTTGATGAAAAAACAATAATTTTCAACGTTTCATCTTTTTAAATTTTTATCAAATTATAATTTGATAAAAAAATATATTAAGGGTTAAAAATTCTCTTAATTGGAATTATAGTGAAATAACATCTTAAAATAGTCAAAGTTTGAGTATGTGGTTGGTTAAAATGTATAATTTAATTAATTCTCTTATCATATTTGTATAAAAAGTGACACTTATTGCTACATCATTATAAGTTGGATTATGAAAATTTTGGGTGTCAAACATTTTCTATTTGTAAATATCTTACATATTTAAAAAATGAAAAACAAAGAAAAAAAATGTATAGTTTTTTGATATGTGTTTATCAGTTTTGTTTTATGGACATAAACAATTGATATTTAAATTTAAAAAATTAAAAAGTAAAAAAAAAAAATAGATTAGTTTTTTAGAGATAAAAGAAACTATCTAACTCTTCTATATACTATTAAGATGGACTATTTTAATCATGGAAAAAAATAGAAATTATATTTAGAGATTATCTATATATAGTATGCTATTATATACAACTATAGTTGTAACAAATTAACTGTAATATATATGAAAAGTTATATTAAGCTTTCATTTTTAATTAATTGAATTATAATTAACAAATCAACAATTAGCAGTAAAGGTCCAATAAGATAGAAAGATGATAAAAATAAAGAACACAATGATATTTAAAAGTTTAAAATTTACCTAGTTAAACAAAAATCTAATGTTATAGTAAAATCTTGAATTCTCAATAAATTTTCACATTTTTTATAAAATAAAATGACAATAAAAAATAAAAAATTTGATACCCATTTTTTTACTTCAATTTTATGGCTTTCACTGAAGAAAACAAAATCCGATCAAAATCCATGGCATGGAACGGATATAGATACTTCGATTACCACCATAATCACCAATAATTATTCTCTACTAGGCAAAACCTATAAACAAACACATAAAACTCACTAAAACTGAAACCAAAACCAAAACTAAAGCAACAATAGAGAAAGAGAATCACACAGGGAAAAGATAAAATTAAAAAAAATAAATTTATGGAGTGAGAGAATGTTACCTCCAACAACTTAAACCTCATTTAACCCAATTCATTAGCTTCTCTACCAGTGCCCGCGAAGTTTAAGAGTTGGGATGACTAATCATATTATTATTTAAATAAGACTTGAAAATTGATTAATTTGTCTCATTAAGTGATTTAAAATTTTGGTATATATATATATATATATATATAAAAAAAAAATAGATAATTATATTACTAAATCATAATTCAAATTTAGATATTATCATATTTATTTTTAGATCCATATGATAATTTTTATCTTTTTTTATTTTTGTGTGATTTCTATTTTTTTTTTCAATTTATTTAAGATGGAATTGTGGGTTTCTATTTTTTAAATTTAATTTATATGTGGTTTCTATTTGTTTATTATTATTATTATTATTTAGATAAGTTATAATGTGAGTTTTATTGATTTAAAATATGATGATCTGAGATATTTTCAAATTAGATTTATTTAAATAGAAATTTAAAGATTTTTAAATTTAAAATTGGATATTGTGATGCAAAAGAAAGATTTTAACTGAATAAATAGAAACTAAAGTTATTAATTTTATCTGTTTGTATATCTGTTTTTTTATTTATTTTATGTTATAATATAATATATTAGATATAGATAGATACTGCAGTAACTATACACGGGCTGTATCTATAATTATTTGTATGAGAGAATTTTAAATGCTAATAAGGGATTTTGACCAAATCAATAAATGAAGGCATGTGGATTGGAAAAAGTTAATAAATGCTGATCAGGGGATTTTAACCAAATCAATATATGCTGAGGTTTTTTTTTTTTTAAATCAAAAATTTTAAAAATTAAGATTGAGAGATTGGAACTCCTACAAGGCTTGAGGTTTAGAAACCCCATTTTTCTTAATATATTTACAGTTATCTATATATGTGAATTGCAATTTTTAAATGTCTTTTTTTTTTTAATTTTTAAATGTCGTCTTTTTTTATTATATTATATTAAAGTTTAATATTTTGATAATAATCATATGTGTTGGACTTTTTAAGAAATTTTTTTTATGCTTGTTCTTAATACATTAAAGTGTTATTATGAGGGATAATAATCATATGTGTTGGGACTTTTCAAGGAATTCATATTTATTGGATTTCAAAGAATTTTTTTTATACTTGTTCTTAATGCATTAAAGTGTTATGTTATCATAAGGGTAAGACTTGGGGGTTGGGAGAAGTTAATAAATGCTAAGGTTTTTTATTTTTTTTAAATCAAAAAATTAAGAAATTTAGATTAGGAGATTGAACCTCTCACAAGACTTGGGGTTAAAAATTCATTTTTACTTAATATATAGTATAGATGTAGATTAAGATAGATAGATAGATAGATAGATAGATAGATAGATAGATAGATAGATAGATAGATAGATAGATAGATAGATAGATAGATAGATCCGTCGTGTGGGGTTTTTTTTTTTTTTTTTTTTTTTTTTTTTTTTTTTTTTTTTTTTTTGGGGGGGGGGGAATAACAGTTTGACCCCTTGTAGTTTATCCAAAAAAATACGGAGCCTTTCTATAATTCCATTTATAACACTTTACATCCCTTAGATTTCATACCACATTGTAATTTCTAACAAACTTGTTTATTTCAACAGAGCTTGTGTTGTACGATCATAAAATCAAAAAATTTCCCAAAATAGTCATTGACATTGAATAATTCCTTATGTTCTTTCTCCTAACTTTTTGAAAACGAAAGACGTTAGTCTCTCTCTAAAATGATTCTCTCTCTCTCTCTCTCTCTCTCTATATATATATATATATATATATCTTGTTAGTACCCTACTTGTTGTCAAATTCCATGGACAAACTAGGGTTTAAATCGAGTTCTAATTTTTCAGTTTTTGGTGTTCCCGCTCGAGTGGGCAAAGTGGCACTCGAGCGGAGTTTACATTCTCACAGTATTTTGTGTGTCTGCAAAAATACTGAGTGATGTGTTTTTACGCTCGAGCGTGAATCTTTTGCTCGAGCGTGAACCCTAATTTGGAACACACGATATAGAGTCCCTACTCGAGCGTCAATTCCCACGCTCGAGCAGACCTCGCGATCTCAGCCTCTATAAAACCTCATGTTGCTCCAGCTCTAGGGTTACTTTTCCTAGATCTTTTTTAAGGGTTTTAGGGTTTTCTTTTGGAGATATTTTTTTGGTTTTCCTGGATATTTGATTGAGTTTGAACTCATGTTCTTATAAGCACACATCAAGGAGTTTGTTTGATCTTTCTTTGAGAGTATTCTTTTTCGGTGGAATCCAAAGATTCAAGCACAGAGTAATCAAAGGAGTTTAATGCTGTGTGTAGTTGTTTATTCGACAATAGATGTTATGGATTCAACATCAAGCTAATCAATTCCGTATGAAGGTTGCGGTGAAAGACATACAGAAGATTCGAAGACAAATTGGAAGCGGTTCTAGTAATTTGTTTAGTATCTTTGTAATCTTTCTTTCTTCAGTAGTGGATTGATTTGTAGCGTTTCACTCATAGTTTTTTTTTATCACAATTGAAGGTGCTTCAATTGTGGTTTTTCCATGTAAAAAATCGTTTGTGTCGATTCATTGTTTTCTGAAACAACAATCTAAATCACTTTCGTACGTGCTTGATGATTTAGATTGTTAGTTTTAATTAGTTGGGAATTAAAACAATTAAATCTTGATCTAATCACGAATCACTTAGGTTTTTTAATTGGTATCAGAATGGGTCACTCTTTGTTTTTATCAAAAACTATAAAAGTATGATTTTGTGTGATTGGTGATATGGATTCAATTCGCAAAGGTAACTCGACCTATAGACCTCCATTACTTGGTGGTGCAAATTATTCTTATTGGAAAGATCG